AAAAAAAAAAAAAAAATGCTAATTATTTTAATGAAAATTTAAATCGTTAAAGAAAAAAACCCGATTTAGTCGGGCACCAACAAAACATTATGAATAAAATTGTTGTAATTGTACCCAAAAAATAATAATATTTGATAATACCAATTTATGTTTTTCGCACAGTATAAACCATCTGAAAAATTACACTTACCATGTTATATATACCATTTGCAATTATTTTATGTTGTATTTATTATATTGTAGGCAAAATGTTTATATAATTACTAAAAAACTATATATATATATATATATATATATATATATATTATATGTACGCATAAATATATAAAAGTTTATATTAGATAATGGATGTATTATATTTTAAATTTTAACTATATGAAAATGTATAATGTAGATATAAATTACTTAACTTACGTATGAATATTTATATACATTCAATTACAATTATTTTTATCATTGTTATAGCATCGTCTAAATGATTTTAAGGTGTTTAATTATGACACACATGCCAATAAACTAATATTAGATAAAAATCGCTTAAAAATACAAAAAATAATTTATTTTAAATAAAAATTAAAGAAAAAAATTGCAATACAATATTTTATAAGTATGTAATTTCCACATACCATTTAATGTAAAATTATAATCAATTAATGTTAGTAGTAATATTATATAATAGATTAGTTTAGAATTGTTATTACACTATATTAATGTAAAATGTAACGTTTCTACATTAATTGAAAAAATGAGCGGGAAAATTATGAAGGTTTTATTAAATAGGTTTTATTTAATGCATCTGCCAGCAATTATATATATATAGATAGGGGCCTTGAATAATTAAGCATGACAATTGTAATGCTTAATTTAAGTACAAACCTAATGTTTTTTTTTTATAAAAAAATAACAAATATATCGTTATTTTCAAAAATAAATAAAAAAATAATAATAATAAAGGTTTGTCATCTCTGAAGTGGACAATCAAAGCATCATAGATGGTCCACACGGTTTCCCCGATTGGACCTCACGGCGGGCTTGCACGAGGCGTAAAAGAGCTGTTGAGTCGCGAGTGGGTGGTCTCTCTTCACCATGGGTTTCGAGAGGCGAATAATGTGGCGAATTTTTTGGTTTCACTGGCGGCCAAATGGCCGAATGGCCTGTTTAGGCTTGATCATCCTCCTCCGGGAGCGCGTGTGTGGTTGAACCACGATAGTTTGGGTGTCTCTACACCTAGGTCGGTTATCATTTAGGCGTGTCGCCTCCTTCTTTGTACCAAAAAAAAAAAAAAATTAAACGGTTAAAGGTTAGGTGGAATGACGAAAGATGTGATTTCGAAAAATATCGAACGATCTCTTCTATAAGATGAGGCAATGCCTTTTTACATCTCTTCACCATTTTCTTGGCTTACTTCTTGTAAGAAATCAGCCAATTCTTTTCTTGGCTTACTTCATGTAAGCGAAAATGGTAATTCTTTCTATACACGTAGTTCCACACGAACATGATGGTCATCAAGAAGAGGGCGAACACGAGTGGTAGGCACCCACCTAGATCAAATTTGTATAGAACCGAACTCAAGTAAACCAACTCAACCGAGTCGATGATCAAGCGTACGCAATCACAAGAAGGATGTGAGTTTTGCAAATAGGACTAAAAATGCCGATGTAAGTGTCATCGCGAACACAACGGCAATCCCTACAAGTTTTTCTTTTACAGGGACTGCCGTTGTGTTCGTGATGGCTCTTACATCGGCATTTTTACTGCTATTGTGACTTGGAAAACTCACATCCTTCTCGTTATTTCGTACGTTTTGATCGTCGGCTCGGTTGAGTTGGTTTACTTGAGTTCGGTTCTCTACAAGTATGATCAAGGTGGGTACTGATGTAGCACTAATAATAGCTCGGCGGATCGACCTGAGCGGTTGGCTCGAGTATGATCGGTCTGAGGGGGTCTTAGCTCGATTGCTACAGTTTAAAGATATATGGTATTAATTAAATATGGTATTTAAGTAAGTTTGTATATATCCACACAGTGATTGGGAGGAGTAGACTCCTTGGTTATTGAGGAAATCCTTTTGCTCGGGGGAATAAGTCATTACACATCTTATAAATAAGGGACCAGGTTCATTTTTTAATCCTAAGCTCTGAATAAGTCTCTCAATTAAATGTGTGAAATATAAGTTTCTGACTTGAGTGTCGGAGTGTCTACGTCGGGGTCCCGTCCCGGTGCTTTGCAGGTTGACCCGGTTTGCAAGGCGAGACGATCAAGACGAAGCAGTTCAACCGACAATCTCGGTAAGCTTATATTTCGGGCACATCAGGTACCTACCACTCTCGTTCACCCTCGTGTTCGTGCAGAACTACATGTATAGAAGGAAGTACCATTTTGGCTCGACCAAAAGCTATCGCACGAGGAGGTAAAGGGAATTATCGACTATCGAGGACGGATTCCGATAGGCTCCCGAGCACTTGTTCACGAGGGCCCTGATAGACGATTTGTCCGTCAGACAAGAGGACTATGTCGTCAAACAGGTCGTACGTCTCGACTGCCAGCTGCAAGAGGGAGAGATGAACTTCGTATTTGACAAATTGCTTGCAAAATACATTCTCATTAAAATTTAGTTATGGAATCGAACATCGTATTCAACTCTGGTCAGAATATGTGTTTAATTTAGTTTCTATTTGTTTGGAAAAAGGTTCATGCTCGTGTATTCGGCTTATTAAACAAACTTGAATTGTTTGGAACTCCAATAGATATTATCCAAACTTTTCTGAATATTATTTCTGGGCACGTATCGAAAAATCATCAGTAAGCAAAAGCTGCAACGGAGACCACATCATCAATATTCAGATCTCCTACGAGGAACGATCCAAAAACTGCATTAAGAAGAATCCCCTGCACCATCACAAGTTCTATTAATCCCCAACCCTCAAATTTCATCCAAAGTACAAACCATACACGAATTACAGATTTACGCGACATAAAGCAAATGTTTAGCAAGCTCCAGAAAGACGATCAGCTTTGAGACTAAGAAAAAAAAAAAAGAAACAGAAAAGAAAAGACTTCACTAAGACATTTACACAACTGCATCAAACTAGATGCTTAAAAATGTCATTAATAACCCCTAATAATGAATATCCAGATACTTTCTTTCAAAGCTATAATGGAAATTGGCAATTACTCTACTATACCCTTTGCTTCACACGTCTACCGTTGACATCACTACCATCCAAAATACCTTCAGTTCCTGGCTTTCCAACAGCTATGGAGTGTTCAGTGATCCTTGCAACATACTCTAACAACTCAGTCAGAACATGAGGACAGCTTTCTTTCAAATACTCAAACCCGTCCGTCTGCATAACAGCTGCATTATAAAACAAACCTTATTCAGACGGTGATTAATAGATGAATGGAGTTCTAAGACAGCTTTAACTATAATACTTTCAAATTAAATATCCAAACTAGTTCATCTCGAAAGATGTTGCTAGTTTACATGATCCATTCTCACGTTTCCAGTCAACTAACATATCCAGTTACAACTTAACTCGAATAATAATCACGTCATGCACATGTTTCAACCATTTATGACATCTAAGAATAATATTTGAACAACCAAATAATTAATGCATGCATTTGAAGATTATAAGCAATATGAACATGTAAATGAGGTTGTTTAAGGCAAGTTGCTAGATATTTTCCCTTAACAATAGAATCTCATCCTTCTCGAATTGAATTTTGCTTGTAGATTGTGTTCTTTCACTTTTCAAGGTTCAACTCGGTCTAGCAAATGAAAGCACTAATGTCTTCTCAAAAGTTTCCAGTTCTGAACAAACATTACAGAATAAAATTAAAATTTCAATGATTTGTAAAACCCATCATACTATTCATCTTTTTTTGTAACAACTTAGGTATGAGTACTCATGAATGCAACTCAGTCCTCATCGAACTAAATCAGTGTTGGCGGTGAGCCAAAAAACAACCATGTATATATGGCGGACGGCGCGGAGCAAAATGGCAGAAGGCACGGCGGACTAAAATATATATATTTTTATATAGATTTGTATACCCTAACATATATATATATACATGTAGAACACCATAAGTAAAAGCTTGAAACATGTCAATAAATACATAAATACAAGTATAGAGCTTAAAATAAAAGACGGCCAAAAAGAGTACTTATTTTACAAAAGAAAATGCTGAAAAATAAAACAAGTACATAAAGAGTTAAAGAAGAGCAGTAATGGAAAAATGACTTATCTTGTATTTACAGTACAAAAATGGGATACTAAAACAAATACATAAAAATTGAGCAGCAGCAAATGCTGCTGCGGTTGCAAAGGGAAATTGTAGCAAAATGCAACTGCAGCAAATGCTGCAGTTGCAGTTACAAAAAATAGCCCTTTCCCAAACCGTGCCTGCCGTTGCAAAGTTTTGTAACTTTTTTTAAGTTCAAGGTAATCTCAAAATTAATAAGAGCACGAAATACTGGGGAAAAAAGACAGAAGAAGTTGAATAGAGAACAGGAAAAGGAAAAGTGGAAGAGAGAAAATGAGAAATAAAGATCACCGGAGGTTGGGCGTCGGTTGCCGGGTCGAGGGAGGGTGACCCTTCACCTTTCTCTTTCTTGCAGAAGGTTTTTAATATTTTTTATGGGCCTATATACAAATCTGTTAAAGATCTCAGCTGATTTTGAAAAAACTCCCAATTACTTTATCTTTCTTTTTAGGGCATGGAAACTGCAATTTCCGCCTACCCGTACCGCACTGACCAGTATGCTTATGGCAGCCAAAATGGCACCCCCAATGCAAACGGGCCACAAGGTGGCTATAATATGAAGACCAGGATAAAATCCACCACACCATACTGCCATGGCTGCTATTCAAACACACTGGACTAAATCTGAAACTAAGCAGCTCCATTTCATTTTTTTAAAGCTTTCTGGAAGTATAGAGCTAATAACAATAATATCCTAAAATATACCTCTGAGGTTTTCAGGCAACGCCACAAATTTGAGACACATGTCTTTCAACTGGATACAGTGGTGCTGTTCTGCAAGCGCTAGTGTTGTTGCGACAGTATTGATGGCAACTTGTTCACAGAGGGTAGACTCACACAGCAATCTGAGCCTATCTAACCCATACCGATCAGCAGCGGCAAGCAGATGCTGAGACATCAAGGTTGAAGCCCATGTTGAGTTTACACCAGTAAGCTCTTCCATATCAGGTAATGCATCCCAGTATATAAAATGAAGTAGAGCCTGCAAGCAAGGAGAAAAAAAGTGAAAAAGAAAAAGAAAAAAAAAAAAAACCTTGGTAAGTATCAAGAAACCAAAAGGCCGGCCTTGTATCAAGAAACCAAAATTACCGCGAATGATATTGATATTTATCAATTAGTAGAAACTTGGGAAGACTAGTGAAGCATTTTCAATAGCCCAAACCTCCAATCAAATTAACAGGAAAAAAAACATAAGAAGTTTTAGTCATTAGCATTATTATATGATTGACAGTATTACACAAGTACTAAGCAAGTATTTTCATCATAGAATATAAATATATAATTCCAAGATACATATGCATGTGCTCGTCAAATTGGAAAAACAAATCACCAAATTTCCCATCTACTCATAACATATTATACATCTAACATATAGTCAAGAGACAATAAAGAGAAGTAGCATGACCTATACATGTGGAAGTAAAAGGCACAGGTCTCACATGGTCACTCTATGAAGTTCAGATAACGGCAGGAAAAAAATGTAGCTAGATCATGGAACAAGAACTTTGTCCACAGGTCATTCCCAAAAGGGTTCCCAACTGATCATAGAAAAAAGAACTATATTCCCAGAACAACATTACAAAAATGCTTTTAAGAACTAAACACACACAGACACAGAAAGTAAACTAGTTTGAAAGAGACAAATGCTGTAGACAATCACAAAAGAAGGATACTACAAACAACAATAAAAGTCGTGGGTATAAAGAAATGCTGCTAAAGACCTTAAAAACTGGTGCTTCCATGTCTTCAACTTTTATACATTCTGTGTTCTGGTCCTTCATTGGCCCATACAACTGTGCTCTAAACACAGGTGAACGAGCTGCAAGCACTAATTTGTGAACAGAAAAATTTTCTCCATCAACTTCAAAGTTCACATCAGTTCCTTTTCCACTTTCCAGCAACTTCCCAAAATGTTGGCTAATGTCTGATGGGGGTACTGGTATAGAGTAGATCTTAGGTCCTTCTGTGTGAGAACTAACAACGCCAACACAACATTGAACATGAAGACAATCGTCCTTCAAATAGTCAGAAGTCTCCAAAGCAGTTCTTTTGAAAAATCGCTTATAGCCCCTGCAGCCAAAAAGATACCCATTTACATTGTTGTCACAATGCATAGAATTCATTTTGAAGTTTCTTGGAATTTTGTTCTAGTATCATATGCTAGGCGTTGAGCAATGATCAAAAGAAAAGATAAGAATGGTGTCAATTAGGAATCAATTACACTACTACGACATTCTATGTGTGGGAGAAGTAACTAAATGAACTTATAACTCTTTGCCAGGAATATATCCAGGATAAAATGGCGTGATAAATTCCCAATTTCCCGTTTACCGTTGTTAAATACAGAGAAAATCATATCCCTTTCCTCAACTAAGATGCAAATAGGTGATTGAAGACAAGATCAAGGAGAAGATGCACCAATAAGGGTATATGTGCATTGAAATCTACAAGATCACACTTGCATCAACATCCACAGACTAAAAAAAA